TTTAGCATTATAGCATGGAAGCAGGTGTTTATGAATAAGATATAATAATTCATGTCACAATGTACTAGCCATCATACTAAGTCCAGAAGTATTATGAAAACATTCCTTTCATTTTTCCAGGTGGGGAGATTCAACCACGCTTCCAGTCGTAGCTGTCAAGCTGCTCCAGGAGACGGCACTGCTGGGAGTATCTCGTGAATTGGTACCCACAGGCCTTTGAACAATATGTAACTCTATCATGTTAGGCAGGAACAAACTCACATAAAATCCAGACTTTTCAGCACTTTTGGAGCATCTGTATGAATATTTCTTATCGTTAATTACCCTCAAAAATATAACGGCCACTAGCAAAAAGGCTATAAATTTAAAAACCTGTTTGGACTCAGGTAAAAACGATGAGCCAGAGCTTTGCTATTCAAAGTGCAATTCTTGGGCAGAAGCATCATTGCCTCCCTAGTGTTTGTTAGAGATGCAGACTCTCAAGCCTTCATAGCTAGCGGCAGTTACACTAGACCTACCGAATCTGAAACTGAATGTTATCAAGAGCTCTAGGTGATGTGAATGCACGTTAGAGTTTGGGAAGCATTGGACAGGGTGCTAATGCTTGTAACAGTAATAGCAAACTTTTACTGAATAGCTATTATGACCTAAACAGCACAAGGCACTTTTAAGATAATCACAACCCTCATAACAGATATCATTAGTATTCTCAATTTACCATTAAGGAATCTGAGTTTTAGATTAATAATGAGTCCCAGATCACAATGATAGTAAGCTGCTTAACTCTAGTGCTGTTATATTCCCAGTGCTTGAAAAAATGCTTTTTAGATAATAAGCACTTGGTATATAGTTAACGAATATAAGCATTCATGAAGCAATAAATGAACGAATTAATGAATAAACAAGTTCAGGTAGCTTAATTTCAAAGCTCACACCATTAACCACGACTCTCTGACTACCTAACACTTTCTCCTCTTCGAGCTCTCTTATTCCAAACTCTATTCTTTTATATGAAATAACAGAAAACTAGGAAAGAACTTTCGAAGTATTTGGAAAAATATGCTATTTTATGTGAGAAAGAATCAGTTTCCCCCAAGGATCATTCTTTCTTGAGAGGACAATCTATGAGCTTTTCTAGTCTAAATTTAGAAAGAAAGAAGTTAACAAAAGGTCACACACTGGTATAGTATTCCTTTACAGAAAGCCCACCATTTCAAATTTACAAAAGCTTTTTACAATATTAATGATTTACAAAATCATTAATTAATTAATCATTTATTAATAATTTACAAAAGCTTTTTACAATATTAATGATTTCAAAAAATTATCTACATGAGAACTAAATTTTAACATATTTCTTTTTCTTCCCAAAAGTACGTATTTCACTTTTAACACTTGACAATTCTTCATATTAAAAAGAAACTTTTTCAAATCAGACATTATTTTAAAACAGACTAAAAAGCTATCTCTGGCTAATCCCATCTACATGGTAGTAAACTGTATAAATGGCCACAAATTCTTCCAGTCTCTGTGCCCATGGTCTTGGATTCATTTCTCCTCAATCTAGCAAAATTACTGGCTTTGGCCACTGAGGTATCTTGCTTAAAAGCACTTGAGCATTAGACATGTTCTCTTGCTGTTGGGAATCTTGCAACCACCATCATGTAATGAAAACCAACCTAGGCTGCTGATGAGAAACCCTTGACGTGTCAGCCCCATGGCCAGGAAACAGACCTGTGAGTGAGACTATTCCAGGTCATCCAGGTACTAGCCTACAAACGGGCTGACTAAACAGGAGTGAGCCCAGCGGAGGTTAGCCAAGCCAGCCCAGACCAGAGGAACCAGGTGACCAACAGAATCATGAAATACACAAATCAGTTATTTTATGTCACTCATTCTTGGGGTAGTTTGTTACATAACAAAAGCTAACTGATAACAGCCACTAAAATCAATTTTTTAAAAAAATGATAGTGTTCATAATTTTAGTCATGCTTTCTACAGTTATACATTTATTTTAAATTATAATTAATACTCTAGGATAAAATATGATGCTAAATGCTAATGTTATCAGCAAAAGGAAGGTTTTGATCTTGGCAGGTTTTATCTACTTTAAAAGCTATTTGAATAATAGGAACTATTCTAGGCTCTGATTCACTTTATAAATAACAGGAATAGTGAAAAATTCAAAGAAAAAGAGCTCATCAAAAAATAGCCTCACTGAATCAGAACCATAACCAAATGACTGGAATACTGTCATATATTAAAATGACCATGTCATATATCAAAATGGCCATCTTCATATTTATAAAGCCATCTTGGGGGAAAAAAGCACAGATGATAATGCTCGTTTAGATTTTTTGCCAAGATTCTATATCTTCAAGATTCTATATAATTGTATTTACCACTAAATCAGTCCTGGTAATACATTTGGAGTTATTAGTTACAGTGATGGCCCTTAGCAACTGTTAATTCAAATGTGGACACACTCATTAGGTTTGGAGGGCTGAGCAATCTTAAAAGGGGTGAGACTATAAATTACCAGTTAACTAGTTAATAAGAGAATAAATCTCATAAATCATGACCATGTAATACTGTGGTATAATGCAGCATGTTGGGAGCTAAAGTTGAACTGTCAGTCAGGGCTTAAATCCTAGCTGTACCATTTAACACTAATAGGCAAGCTATTTAACATCTCAAGGTCTCTGTATCTCCATCTAGGATGAACCACCTTCACAGGGTTAATGTGAAAATTAAATCCATATAATGCATATCTAGAGCTTGGCATGTGGGTGGATGGATGGACTGATAGACCACAAGCACTCTAAAGCCATTATTATTATTATTGTCATCATCATCATCAAGTCACTTCTTAAATACTCACTGGAAAGGTATACGATTTTCCATTAGGAAAAACTACCTCAGCTGCTTCAACCCTGAAAAAATAAAAAAAGGGTCCATAAATTCTAGAAATGTGTATGGTTAATCAATTTTTCACTTGTTCTGCAACTGTAGCCTCAACACTCCAAACTATTCACATTCCAACAGCGCTGCGTGGATTAATCCCTCTCAATACAACATTACCATTCCTTCGCCTGTGGCTCCCATGTCCCTTTGGGTAGCACCCACCTGATACGGTTGTTTCCCAATACTGCAAATTGTGCATCCTCTCTGTGGACTCCTCACCAAGTGAGTGATAAACACAGTCCAGGCTTCAGCAGAGTGGTGTGTTACACAATGGAAACTGACCGACACAACCACTAAAGCACGAATCAATGAAAAAAGCAGCAACTGATATTGCCCATAAAATTTCAGTCCCGCTTTCTACAGTAACACATTTATTTTGAATTATAATTAATATTCTAGAATAAACTATGATGCTGGTATACAGTGAGGGCCATATAGGTCTGTTAAATTTTTTAAAATTACAATAATCTTATTGCTATATATAGGGGATCCTTGCTCTTACATATGCTTCTCTACTCTTGTTTAGCTCTTCCTTTTGCTGTTCCATGTTTACATCCTCAAATTCAATGAGCCTTAAACACAGCTTAAATGTCACTGCCTCCGTAAGACCTGCCTAGATTGCCTCAGGAGGCAGTAATTTGCCCTTACAAACGGCCGGAACATCACTGAAACTTTCAGAGCACTTATCACATTTTATTTTATACATTATTTATGTACATGTCTTAGCTCCTTAAAGAGATTATACTTTCTAGTTATAGGAAAACCATTTTCATCTTTATATTTAGCTCTGCCTTTAGAACAACAGGCCATCGATAAAGGTGCCAAATGAACTTACGTAAATTGATTCTCACAATATTCACTGAACGTGGTGACAATAATATCAAGAACTATTTTTGCCTGCAAAGGAAAAAGACAAATATTATGCTAACCTATAAATATGCATATTATCTCTTCACTCAGATGGAAATGAATAATATCTAATATAATAAGTCCTTAAACATCTTAAAAATGGACCTTTATATAATTCTAAAAAAAGGGAGTGAAATAAACCCAGGCTAATGTTGGCCTGCCCTTATTTTCAGGTGTTCTGCATTTATTCGGTTCTCCTAGAGCTACAATACGTGACTGAGACAAATAAGTTACCTCCTCCCGCCCACTCCCTTGGGTTTACCAGGTTTTGAGAGAGACATATGGCTAACCAGGGCAGTAAACCTTATCAATCTCACGAGTCTCTGCAGCCAGATCTGACTCATGGCTCAGCCCCTTACTAGCAGTCTGACTCTGCAAATTACCTACTGTCTTTGAACCTTAGTTTCATCTGTTAAGAGGGGGTTATAAAGTTCCTACCACATTTAGTTATTATGAAGATTATATATGCGTCTATGTGTGCCCGTGTATGTGTGTATACATGTAACAAACAACGAACAATGCCTGACACATAATGAAGGCCACAGAGATTTGTTAAATTTTAATTGAAAAAAAAAATGCTTAGGAAAAAATACAATAACTTTATTGGGATATATGCTTTGCTTTTATATATACCTCACTCTATATACAAGCTTCAAGAAGACTTCCAAGTTCTGCTAATGCATGAATTTTTTTAAAAAAGTTTTTAATAGGAACATTAACCTGACAATATTTTTCAAGGCAAATATAGTACATAAAGTTATAAATAAAACACCTAACAATGGATGCCAATTCCGCAAGGTATCTGTGAATGTCATTATTGGTCCTACTTCTATACTCCAGCCTTCTCCTGCGATTCAAGTTTACCTTTCTTAAACTGCTCTATGACTTCCTTACTTAACATGTATAAAGAAATCATATGCTGCAGAAAAAAACTTCCATACCAATTCAATCCGCGTTGTGGCTAAAAGTGAATGAATAACTAGTATTCTCCATATTCTAGATATCACTGTGTGCATAAACACTGTATCAATCTGCTAAATAACACTTCTTTATAGACGGTTTGTTTTAAAAAATTTTTTACCAAGTACACAAAGGTACCAAATTACTTAGCGCATAAATTAAGCCAACCAAGATAAATAATTGAAACAGATCACATTACAATACTTATCCCATTCTGTTCTACAGTTAGGCATATGGCTAATTCTCCCACTAGACTATGAGTTCCTTGAAATCAAGAAACATGTTCGTTATTAAATTTGCAGCACTAGGAAGACAGTAGGTGTTCATTAAATATTTGTTGATTGAATGACAAAGTACAGAACACCTGTATCTAATATTCTAAATTTCTAAAATATGTTCCCACATAATCTTGGTCCAGAAGTAAAATCTGTCCTGTCTGACAGCACAAAAAAAAGAAAAAAAGTTTTACTTACCTTAGTAAAGTCAGTTCCTGTGCATTCGATAAATACATTTCTAGTATTTACTGTTATTTTGGAATGATTTCCTACAACAAACATAAAATGACAATAACAAAACTATCAGTTTCAGCAATATAAGTGTACTAAAAAGCTCTAAAAACAAAGTGCATTTTAATTTAAAATACAATATAAACTAACATCTCAAAGTAAGGTGATGTACAACTTTTAAGCCCCATTGCAGGCTAGAAAATAAAAATAAAATAATAACAAGCCTTACTGAGTGCATGCAGTGTGTCAGGTGCTATGTCAAGCTCTTAACAGAGGTTGCTTCATCTCATCTTCACCATGACTCTGTGTCAGAGCTGTCGGCAGGACAACTAAGATTCAGAGATTAAGCTCACTGACCACGATCACAGGTATTAAGAAGCAGGGATAGTAAGACTTGGACCTGGATCTGGCTAACTCTGAAGCCCAGGTTCTTAGCCACTATAGCTGCTGAAGTCTAAGATCTTGAGACGACAAAGACTCTCCTTCCAATCATGAATCAACTAATCGCCCTGCTCACCTCTAGAAAAGCAAATACCTACGGCTTCGACATCATTAAATCGTATAAACACATTCATGTTTCCTTATCAAAAAGACTTCAGAAAGGAGTTAAGAGGGTAAAATTCAGTTTGAAAGCTTTAGTTTAACTATAAAATAACAGCAGGCAAAACAGAATTTGACTTTGACTTTAACCAAGTGAATTACCTGCTGAAACCTAAACATCAAAACCCTTTGGATGAATATAACAGAATCCAGAGACCAGCATCAGAAAGTATTTATAAACTTACACATATTTAGGCATTTATAAATTGTAAAAAAATCCCAAGTAAAATGTTGTTAAATAAATGAATAAAAAGAACCATTACAATAAAATCTACAAAAGACTTGAGATTCTCAGATTGAGTTATTTAATTCAGCCAAGTCTATTGAGAATTCTACAGAAATGCTGAAGAATGAAAAGAGACAGCAAAAAATCTGATGCTTAAGCGATAACTCACCATTGATGATTGGAGGCATTGAAAGGATAACACCATTGCTATCACAGATAACTGGGTACAGGGGTTTATTTTCAATGATATGTAAGTAATGTTTAAGGTGATTGTCATTCTGAAAGAAATTAAGTCAAACGAAATTAGTTTTTTATTTCTATCAATGCAATTAGTTTACCTAGTATAAAAAAATGGGGGAGGGGCAAGGAAACCAAACAGCTCCAAATTATAGAAAGTTCTAAGTTTATAAAAGTTTCTAACATGAATTAATATCTCAATATCCTCATACAGCCTCATCTCCTACTGGAGAGAGATGAGAACACAATTGAGCTATTTTTCAAAAGTGAAAATAAATTTGCACTGGTAAGGCTGAATCATCTCAAATAAAACACACTATCACAAAAACTATTCAGATAAATCAGAAGAAATCACTGGCAAAGGCCAAGGAAAACAGCTACTTTTTTCAAATGCTACCCACTACTTTTATTCATTATGTGCAATTTAAAGTGACTACTGAATTCATTTTCACTGCTGAACTCTAAAATGATAATATGAGAGTTAGGCACTCTGTAATAGTTCCCCCCTCCACAAAACTGGCTAAACTTATTGTTCTTTATCCTTGCATCGTATCCAAATAAATATTACAATGTGGTATGGTCTACTTCAGTGGGTCTCAATCCTGGCTGTACATTAAAATCGTCAAAGAGGATAAAAACGTAATAATAAACAAAACAAAACTACTTCCAGCCTCTCTTTAGATCAAATAATCAGTATCTCTGGGTTAGAGCTCAGACATTGCTTTTTTTTTTTTTTAAAGCACTCATTACATTTCTCTAATTCCAAGAACTGACTTTGAAGAAATTTCATGATTTATGTAGAGCTACTGCATGATATAAAAGAACACTTACCTTGTATATGTTCATCAGTTCACAGGCTGTATACTCCTTCGTCTTATTTAGAGGCTTAAATCTGATATCAGAAGGTCGCTTCGCAGTATAAGTAAATGGGCCTGACAAAGTGTCCAAATCATGGGTACCAATAGCAACCAATGCTCTTTTCCTAAATGATGAGAGGGAGAAAGAGACATAGAAAAGAAGATTTGACTATTCCAAAGCAGAAATTCTAAAGATAACACAGACTATAGGTTTTTAAAAATTATTTTTAGACACTTCCCTAAAATTGCCTGTTGCTGTATGACAACTTTAGGGGAATATAAGCAACATATTCTCACAACCATCAAAAGCAATGAGAAATTACAAAGCTACTAAAAACATTATTTCAGTAGCTGAAGTGTATTCCTTGCCACTATGCTTTCCTAAGTAATGTTACTTAATGTTTTCAAGGTCAACATTCCCTCTACCTTTTTCTAACCTTATTTCCCCTTAGTGTCCTCAAGTAAACATAAACTTTTTATTAAAGTACCGAATTGCTTTATTTTTTGGCTTTTCTGTATTTTCCTAAATTTTCTGTCACACAGCTGTATTGCCTTAATAATGGAGAAAAATTACTTTTAAGAACTGTAAATTACATTTAAAGTTTAAAGTGCAGGGAAAGTTCAAAAGCTATTAATGTCATTTGTTTTGCACTTTATCTGCCAAGGATTTAAGGTATTTTAGGAATTTATAAGTAACAAATTAGGAGAGAAAAAAATAGAAGCAGGGGTGTAAAACAGAGCCAGGAATGATGTTAATACTCAATTATAATCTAAAGGTCCACAATCTTATAGAGAGGTTCACAAATTTGGCTCTAAACTTTCCATCAGACAATTCGAAAAGAGAAACTTGGTCAGAGTTTAATGTTCTTAAGATGTCATAAATTGGTTTTAGATGTATGTGCACATACATTTGCATATTTATGCATAACCACATATACATACCAAACAAATGAATTGCATTAGTGATCAAGGATTTTATTAAAATCTGTTATATGAACTATGAAATAGTTTTTAAAATTTGCAGGAAACCAATATTGTAGGAAACCAATATCTAAGGCCAGTGACTAAACCTTTAATAAATATAGTTGAATTGAATAATATTGTTGACAAGAATCAGAAAAAAAGTGTTACTTTACCCAATGAGTTACAGGCTTATGGAAGGTAACCCCAGAACTACCATAGGTTGAAAAATATACATGGTTTGTTCAGTTTAGATAAATTAACAATGGACAAATCCATGAGTAAGAAAGTCTATGCTTTCTTAGGTATTAATAATGGTCTCTTAATCCTAAAACAATACCTCAAAATATCACCAAATTTCAACTTCAAACCAATCGCAAAAAAAATTCCAGATGAATCAAAGAGCTATGCATTTTGAAAAACAAGAGACAAATATACACACACACAAAAGAAACCATAAAAATTATTTGAAGAAAATATAGGATAACAATGCTTAAAGCTCTGGAATAAGATGCCCCTTCTTAAGCTAGACACAAAACAGAGTTCACATAAGAAGACTGATAAATAATAAATGTGACTAGCCAAATTGAAAACACATATCCAAAAACCCCCAACGCCAAAAGACACACTGATAGAAAAGCTTTACTATATATATATATATAGAAAAATGATTACTATCCCAAATATACATATAGCTATGAAAACTAAAAATAGTTAAAATCAAGATTTTACTTATTACACTGACAAAAAATTTAAAGCACTGGTCTGAAAAGGCAGCAGGTGAAAACTGAAAGGACTGGTAGCAAATTCAGGGGCTGCCAACTGCAGAGGTCTCATCCAGCCAAGTGTTTCAAGCCTGAGTCTAGCCAAATACTCAAGCCTTTGCCTGCAAGAACAAGACCACGCCTCTGAGAAACAGAACACAATCAGGAGCATCTTCTATAACGCAGTCAAAAAGCAGTGGACGTGGGAAGAAACAGAGATTGACTCATACTCCAAACAAAACCTGTGCACAAAAATCAGTGCTAAGGTCACCCAGGTTTTCAAATCACCAGATTTCAAAAGTGCTAGGACAAAACAAAAAAAAATTGTTCAAGAATTATGGGAAAAGTTGACACAAAATGAAAATATAAGGAAGTTATCAGCAGAAAAAGAGCAACTTTTAAAAAAAGAACCAAATGGATTCTAGAGATGAAAAGTACAATAACTGAAGCAAAAAGTTCAGTGGATATTTCCGGCCAAGATGGAGTAACAGAGACTGGACTTACTCTCCTGCCTGAAACAACCATTAAAGGTGCAAAATATATAAAACAATGGTTTTCATGGCCGGCACTGGATATTAGGCAATGAAGGGCAGCAATTTCTGAGAGACAGGAAACAAGTGAGGTGAGCCCCAGATTGCCCCAGTTTACTGCCTGAAAGGGTCTCCAAGTTGCAGGGCAGGAAAGGTGGGAGAAGGTAGCTGGAGCCCAGAGGACTCCCTGGCTTAAAGAGACAGAGCTGAGGGAGACTAAGAGGGCCAGAGTTCAACGGACAGAGTACTGCGGGGAGAGCTACAGAGGGAGTGAGCTCTGGAGCTCCGTGGAGGGGCCCCCTCAAGCATTCAGCTGAGTACCGATGGGCACGTGCACGTGCGTGTGAAGAGACACCCCGAGGCAACAGGGAAGAGCCATCCAAGGGAACTAGGAGGAACACTGCTGTCCAAACAGAAAGAAAACCCACTGCTCAGTGGCCATGCGTAAAGTAGGCACAAAGGACCTGCCTCGGTCATAGCAACTAATTAGCCCTAATTAGCAACTAATTAGCCCTACAGAGATTATTGTTCAATCAGTGAAAAACTGAAAAACAGAGGGGAAAAAAAAGCAAAGAAAAGTCAATGTAGCAAATGCTGGTTCTTTGAAAAGATCAATATAAATCGATAAAACTTAGCCACTTTTTTCAAGGGAAAAAATCTTTCCCTTTTTTCAAGGGAAAAAAAGACACAGAATGAAAAAGGTGATATCACTGCAGGTACTACAGATATTAAAAGGATAACCAGAGAACATTACAAAAACTTTATGCCGATAAATGCTATAACTTAGAGTAAATGAATATATTTCTTGAAAAACACAAACTTCCGAAGTTCACTCACAAGACTGATTAGGATTTACTGGCAGATAAGGACTCTGGCACACAGAGTACTAGGATGTGATTTATTCCTCCCCTTTGGAAAAGCTCACGATTTCCAAATCTACCAAATAAAACAGAGCTTAAAGTTAAATTAAGTGAGGAAATGCCTTGTGACTTAGGTAAAAATGAATTTTTCAAAGAAAGTATGTCCAGAGCAGATACCGTGGTTCGATCACTTCCTCGCTATACCTCTCCTTGTTAGGAATCTTACACACGGGAGATGGTGTATATAGCAAAGTCAAAGACACAATAAAAGTCATTTAAAAGTCTTGAGTTGTAGCAATTTATAATAATACTCAAAAACTCAGTGTAAGCTAAAAAAAATTTTTCCATTTTAAAATGACAGCTCATACCTCAAATTACCATGGTTTAGTATTTATTAGTATAAACCACTACTAACAAACAAAACCAAGAAAATCTCTAGGACTAGATATTTCTTCTCTATATAGCATTTAAACCCTATCTCTCATTCCTCCATGCATACACTATTTGTAAGCAGTAACAAATAGCTGTCTGGTAAAGCAAATTTAAACTCTTGTTACTCTCACGTTATTATTATTCCAGAAAGGTTTTGAAGAAAAATCTGTAGACAAAGAAGAAAGGAAGAAGGGAGGGAAACAGGAAGGGAAAGAAAAAGGATACAGAGAGGGGAGAGACAAAGGGATGGGAGGCGCTGGGTGGCGGGGGAGAGAGGCAAGGAGAAAAGAAGATGCAACCACAAACCTGCAAATGTTCTGATGTAATTTCTCTTGAAGTTCGATGAAGCTGTCATATCGATCTTTTGTAAACTTTATATTTCGGAGAACCGCTGCTACAGCATAAGGGCGTATTTTAGCTGTCTAAAATTCATCATGTCATTAGAGATGGCAAATATGAAGCTTTTCTTTGTAATAATATTTTGTAATAGAAAGTTAGCTGCACTCGATAACTGTCACGCATTTTCATTCAAACAAGTATATATTCATTCATCCAACAAGTAATGAAATACAGTGGTGACGAGAGACAAAGTCACTGTCCTAATGGAATTTATATTTCAGTAAGATGTCTGAAAATTTACTAAATAATTGAGAAAAAAATTAATCTTTAAGTAGTTTGCTTATACTTGATTTTTTTTTTTAACCAAAATAACCTCTCCTTATATTTTTTCTTCTCAATTCTATTACTAAACCACAATTGTATCTCTTAAATAAACATTTGGATGTTATTTTCCAAAATTATTCATGGAAAACAGATGTCTTTGTTCTCTTTCATTTCTTGGTAAAAACAAATTGACAATTTTTAAGAGCTAGAGGTTAAATATACATCCATTTTAGCAAACGATCAAAGAAATTACACTGGGTCAGCTTTGTTCTTTTTTTCCTCCCCACGTTATAGACATACACAAAAGAGATTGTTTTCAGAAGGAAAATGAGATTTCATCCTTATTACCTCTTCTGTGATGATCAATTTCTGGATTTCCCCAATAGGCATTACTCGTTTATACACTGGAGCCTTTATCCTACAACAAATTAAAACAAATGTGCTCGTTATTAAACAAAACATTTGATTAACTATACTCTCTTCTGGGTATAGAAAGTAAAAAAAAAAAAAATGAACAGAACTAAAACAATCGATTGAAGTTACACCAAATCAAATTTGAACTGAGTATCAAAAAAAAACAAAAACTAACTTTCTAACATTTAAAGTTGCCCCAAAACAGTACAGAATGTCTCAGGTAATGAGAGTCCTATCACTGGAAGTCTCAGCAAGAAGCTAGAAAACCATTAACTAAGCAACTGTATGAGGAACACTGAAACATCAGCTGAGGTTTAAACGATGGTAAAGTTTTATTCCAAGGACGAGATTCTGAACTCCTAAGAAAAACAGGGTTAAAGATACAGATCTGGACCTAACTGAATCAGGATATTCAAGGGAAAGGCTTGGTAAATGTACAGTTTGAAGGCACAGTCCAGGTAATTCTTATGAGGAGTCGAGTGTTTCTCAAACTTCAATGTGCTTACAATCGACGAGGGAAGCTGTTAAGCCACAAATCCTGATTCAATAGGTCTTGGGTGGAAGCTGAGATCTACACTGCTAATAAGCTCCCAGGTAAAGCAGATGATGCTGGTCCTTGGATCATACTTTGAATAGCAAAGGTTTTAAGTCACTTTCCTAATTGTCTGATCATAAAAGTCACAGACATGCCGTTAGAAATTTTAATCAGGCAGCTTTGGAAACACTCTAAGGGAATGTCTCTAAACCTAAAATATAAGCATCTGATTATATTATACCAACTGATTATTACACCAACTCGGTCAACCCCCCAAATTTTAACCACCTTAACCACTTATTCGCTTTAATATATTCATTACTTTCCATATCTATTACATGAAGGGTTAGAAGCAAACTTAAAATCTTCAATATAAATTAAGAGATTGAAACTAGAAAGGCCAATGAACTTGCCCAAGACTAAACGACCATTGTTAAGATCTTCAGTTTTCCGATGAGAAAGCTCCACCCAAGCGTCCTTAGAAATCTTAAGAAAACAGCGTATAAAGTTTTGTCACCTCCACTTTTCCTCCCAAACTTTAATTAATCCAATGAACCATCTATTCCAATTGGGTTACTCAGGGAACTCACATGAACCCACTAAAGAATTTTTTTAAAGTCATAAAATCGTTAACCACTCCATTTAAAAATATGCTCCCTAAATGAAAGGCTATGACTCAATACTCTCAGTTTCAAATGGCTACATTCTACATGAATCTCACCCTCCAGTCACCCCTCTGTGCAGACCAGAGCTGTGCACCTGTCCAACGAGGTTTCTTCTAGAAACGTAAATAGAGTTGCTGAAGAAATCTAGCTTGGCAGAGTATTTAATAAATATATTACCTTACCTTTCTTTAAAGACTTGAAGTCCTCGAACCAATCCTTCCAGACACAGGAGATCATATCTATTAGCGGGGACGTCAATTTTGTAAAGAACAACATCAGATGCCCCCTGTGCTTTTTCATTACCTTGTTCCTTACTTATAATTTCCTTCTCAGAAGTCTAAAACAAGCACAAAAAATAAAGTAAAACCAAATAAATTCTTTTGAAAAAGTAGTGGTCAGCCCTTTAAAGCACTAACTATATTATACATGTTCTTTTCTGCAAAAGAACACAAGTTTATTATATCTACAGGAAAAATAACAGAAATGACTTTTACTGAGTTCAGACGGCTAGGATCTTCATTCACTCCAGAACACCACAAATCCTTCTAAAGCGAGGGTCAGCAAATGATGGCCCATGGCCAAATCATGCCTGCCACTTGTTTTTGGAAATAAAGTTTTACTGGAACATCGCCAGGCCCATCTGTTTACATATTATCTTTTGTTACTTACACATTGCAACGGCTGAGTTTTAACAGAGACTATACAGCCTACAAAGCTTATCATCTGGCCCTTTAAGTAGTTTGCCCATCCCTGATACAGAAGGAAATGAAACCACCGCTAAGAACACAGGGCAACAACATTAAAAACAAAAGTGTCACTGAGGTAAAGTAAAGATGATTCACCAACTAAAAGAAATACAACTTCTTATAAGGCAATGACTCTAAAAGCTAATTCCTGTGAGCACCCAAGCCTAGGAGCAACATGAGAATGAGAGTAATCACATAGAAACAAAAACACCTGAGGAGACCATAAGCTCTGGTGTAAATCAGAAGGGATTATCGGTACAATGGGAAGCAATGTCGTGACAGCAAAGATATAGAGCAGCAAGAATGAAGGCAACCGAGAAATATTACTAAACTAATAATTTTTAATACAGTGGCAAAAAGTTTTGAATATCGGAATCACCACATTATAGCAGAGAATAATAACGGACTGTCTTAAATATAACTATGAAGTTAAAGTCTTTCTTATGTTTACTACAGCAGGGAACTAAAATATATATTTAAATTTTTTTCAATCGAAATGCTCAAAAGTTACATTCCAATTGTTAATGCTACAATTAATTAATGTTACAAATTAATTGTCTACAAACTTATGCAGAACTCCCACTATTTCTACCACCTATAACCTGCTAAAGTAACTGATGGAGTGCTATCAAAATATGCAATGGCTTTTGTTTTACATGATGTCCTCCCACTGCCACAATATGAGCAGTTCAAATTATTGCCCAAATAAAGAATTATAGTCAACACCTGCACAGGAAATTCATTTTAGTCAGTAAGCATTACGCACCCAAGTCACCCCTAAGGAACCACAGAGGTCCAGACGAGGCTGGGACCGTGCAAAGCTGTGCTGGGCTCCATGAAACATCTATGATGGGCTTCTCAAACTTGGGAGGCATATTTTTAAAATTACAGAGGATGAAAAAAAATAAAAGCAAAAGAGCAGAATGAGGAGGAGGTGGGGGAAAAAGGGGAGGGAACAGGAGGGAAGAAAAGAGATGGCGGAATGAGAGAATGACATGAGAGGAGGAAGCAGCATTAGAATTTAGAGTTCAGTCACAGGGGTCAATAAAATTGCCATTCTTTAGCAAAGAAAGATGAGTCACTGCATAGGGGATGCTGGACTTCAGGAGGGAACTCTAAAAGAAGGGGAGAAAATGTGGTAACCAGGGAAATGAAGGTATCTGAATAGAAAATGGCCTAATCCCTTTGCAAAAAAGACACTGCAACTTAAATCTTTCATTTTCAGCATCTCGATTCATGCAAAAACCGTATGTGAGGAATGGGTTTGTCAGTGCTAACAAAAACCTTATACAAATCAAAGACCACAGAAATTTCAGAGCCAGGAGAGCTCTACAGGAATCATATAATCCAAACCCCTTATTTCACAGATGGAAAGGAGGCCCAGACAGCCAGTGTGATTGTCCAAGCCAGTAAATGTGGGAGCTCAAATGATTACTCAAGTTTTCTGATACCCAGACCAATACCCTTAGGTATCACACATCCTCGAACATAATTTTGAGGTCTAATAAAATTATTAATAGCAACTTATGAATATAATGTACAGAAATCTCAGCCAACTTGTCAAGCATACAGATGCTCAATATAAAAAAAAACTTCTATAATATTAGTATGCGGCAGAAACAAGGCCAAAGTACATATTTGTCAGCCTGAAGATTTTTTAGCCTTATAGTTTATAAAACATTGAATAGATGAAGATAAAAGGCTTAAGAAAAAAATAAAACTAATTACGAGACAAACATAAACTCATCTTTTTAGTTATAAGTACAGTGTCTTTAATACATAATCATTACTAGTTAAGCTATTTTGCAAATAAGGCTTTTTAAGTATTTTAATCATCACACAATCAAAAGACTAGGAAAACACTTCATAATCATTTTTATAGGCAATTCTTCAAAAAATAAGATTATTTTACAAGACTACTGTATATAGTAATGAATTAGGAATAAATTAACACCAAAAAGAAAAGGAGGAAGGTGGGAGCAGGGGACAGACGAAGTGAAGGAGGGGGAGACAGTGACTCTGGCTGCAGCAACATTTCCACTGCTCTCAGGCCCCTTTCCATGTGGTTACCCTGCAGTAAGGCCCCTCACTCTGATTCTAGAGTTACCTAGATGGTCTGTCTACCCGTCTCCACAGCACCAGCCTGAGACCTTGAGGTGACTGCACACAGAATGAGGCAGGAACTCCTTTTGAGATTTTAAGCAAAGCAAGACACTCTCAAGACCAGAGCTTAGCCCCTTAACACAGAGAACACAGAAATCCCCACGGCCCACAAGTGTTTCACCTTTAACTATGAGGTAACAAAGATAAACTATATAGTAAACCTCTGAAAAATGTGCTTATGTGCGGAATATTTGAAAAATAAATATACAATACATACGATTTCATCAAGTTCCAGACCAAATTCAAAACATAGTTCATCAAATTCTTCGTCAGCTAGAAAAAAAGAGATTGCTAATTTTAATCTGATCAGCATAAATGTATATAAATTGCAGTTTCTTATTGCCTCGCCCCAAGAATTCTAAATATCAGCCATCCTGTATCACCATTATAAACAAAAAAAAGCTTAAACAAAAAAGTATGAAAATAAGAAAAAAAACCCATAAATTAAAGACCTAATATATCTAATATCACCTATAGAATTAGGTTACATCTACTGGGAATTTTATATTTACTTAGAAGAAAAACAACTTATTAAGCAGGGATCGAATGTAAAGTAAGCTCCAAATCACAGATCCAACACAATGAAATAACATCATATAAATCCTATTATTTGAAATTCTCTGAGGTGGCTTTGGAGCCAGGCCAATGAGTCTGAATTCTGACTATGCCACTTACTAGTTCTGAGAGCTTGGCATTTCATGTAAACTTTCTAATTCCTATGCCTCATCCATAAAGTGAATCAAAATTCCTCATCCATAAGTAGCATTTTACAGTCATTTATTTATATAGCATGCCAACTGTTGGAAAGATTTAAATGAGTTCATACAGATAATGGGCCTGGCATAGTGCCCTGAAAAGTAGTAGGTCTGCAATAAAACAGTTCTCTTTCTCATTTTTAAATTTTGTTCTACTTTGCTTTGCTACTCAGTACAGCATTTTCAGGATCTTCTCATTACCAAAAATCAAACACAAACCATCACTACCAGTATAGTCAAGTGAAAAGCTGGTCTTAAGATTCCTGATCCCGACACCAACCTTCAATTTAATAAACATTTGTTGAACACCTACTATATGCAAGCCACTGCACTATGTGCCAGGGCTGCAAAGATAAATAAAACAGAATTCCTGCGTTAATTACTTCCTACTCTAATAAAGAAACCAGACATGTAAACATAGTTGAGTGCAAGGTACAGAGGTGGCACAAAGAAAGTAATCAGCTCCACTTGGGGTCAACTAAATCCTCATGGAAAGGATGAGTTCATTAGTCAAAGATCGTGGGGAGTGAGATAACAGTATGGCACAGTATGTGGAAAGTTCAATATGGATGAAACATTAAAATTCACGTTAGGAAGAGATACAAGGAACAATGAGGCAGAACTCAAGTCATGAGAAGCCAAGGGATTTGCCCTCTCTCCTGCCTGCAAGCAATGGGCAGTTAAACTGAAGGATTTTCAGCTGAGCAAAAAGCATGATTACATCTGCATTTTAAAGAATGGTGACAAGGTATACGTCTAATCGCTATTGTTGTACACCTGAAACTAATATAATATTGTATGTCAACTGTAATTGAACAAAAATTTTTTAAAAAGGGATGGTGGCAGGGTGGCGGATGGACTGGATCAAGGATCTACTCCAACAAGTAAAATACACTGAGAACTTGGTTAAAGCAGAAATCTGTAAGACTCAGTGACTGAATGGGAGCTGGGCACCGTGAGAGAGCAGGAGCCTAAATGAGTCCTAGGTCTCTGGTGGGGGTACCCGTGACTGAGGCAGGAAAAAAGAGGCCCCAGGAATCCCTGCCTCCTGGTATTCATATCCTTGTGTGAACTGAGGTCTGAAGCAACCACATGAGTGAGCTGGGAGCACATTCTCCAGCAAAGCCTTGAGCCCAGCTGACAGCTCGACTACAACACGGTGAGAGACTCGAACCAGAACCACCCAGCTAAGCCACCCCTCGATTCCTACCTCTCAAAAACTGCGTGAAATAACAAAGGCCTGTTGTTTCACACGCCTAAGTGCTGGAGTAATTTGTTATACGGCAACAGATAATACAGACTTTAGTCCCTGGAAGTGGAGAGCTGCCATAACAAAACATGGGGGAAACACGGGAATAGCTATGGGAACAGGAAGTGGTCTTTGAGAGGGTAGATGAAAACCCCAGTTCCCATACGGTTCTTAATACATTCAACCAGTTACACTCGGGATGCAACCCAGGGCTCTATCCTTAATCTGTCCCCTGGTACCAGGGACGCAGTAAGCGCTCCATGCGAGATCCCTGAACGAACTACATACAGGGCGAGCCAGGCATGTGCGGGTGATGCAAAGGCTGCCGCAGGGAAACCGGTCCCTAGAGGCTACGTTAATCAGCCCAGGCCCGCCGCTCCGGGAGTCAGCACCCTCCCTTCGCGACCGCCTGAGGCCAAAACATGCCGGGCTGCATGATCGTTGCCCTTTTCGGAGGTGGGGGTGGGGGTGGGGACGGTCCCAGCCGCCGAGGAGAGCCACAATGCTCAGGCTATGCGGCCGACACTCACTGTAGGTCCGACCCAGGGCTTGGAAAAGGAGATCGCGCTTCACGCTGACAGTCGGCATGGCGAGTCGGGCCCACTGCGCCTGCGCGGCGAGCGGGCCAGCGCTCAGAGACAGGAGACTTACAGGACCCGGCCCTTCCCGTGTGGGCTGTCTTGAATATTGCCAGTCTGCTTCCAACCGCTTCTCCTTTCGTTTTTCATCTGAACGCAAGTAAATTCCACTATTAAACTTAGTAAATCTAACTGCATTGGGTGAATAACCTACAGGCTGGTAAAGGAGACAGAATTTAATAGAATATGCTATGATTTGATGGTCAATGGGAAGGACAGACCGTGAAGGCTCTGACGTCTCTGACGCACTACGGCGGATGACGCCAAACTAGCGGGCGGGGCAAGAGGGGCGGGCGCGTAGTAGGGGGCCGGGCTTCGAGGTGACGAACCCTCGCGGGGCGGTGGTGAGACTGAGAGTGGGCGGGTCCGAGGCTGCCAGGAGACAAGCATGTGCAAATCTGGAAACAGGAAAAACTGTTACATTGAGTAAAGCTCTCTAAGGCCATTTAGGTGAGAGGCCAGTAGCTAGGTTGGATTAGGCCTCCCTTACTGCCAGTCAAGCAGTTTTTCATTTTATTAGCTTCCCTCTATGGCTAAAGGAAGTCACTTCCCAGTGCCCAACATAATAGATTGTCAGAGGCAATCTATGGCAAACATCTCCAATGTCAAGTAAAACTCTTTTCACAAATTGGTATTCAGTATTCAGTTAATGAATAAAAGATTTCCTGAATTATTGCATGCTGACCTGCTCTCCTCTGAGCGTTCCAAAAAGTTCTGTGGCCTCTGAACTGCAATTTCCTTGTCTATAAAAGTTAATAATACACACCTTAGAGAATTATTATAAGGATTAGAAACAGTACTCATAAATGACTAGTATAGTTCTTTGTCATCGGTCTTGAAAACTAGGAAGCTGTAATTATTGTTATCTATCCCATTATTGGGTTTCCTGACTACGCCTGAACCAGCTATTCTCAGACTATCCAGGGGCATACTCCTCCCCCACTAGCTCCAGCTCATCCATCCTGCTTTTCACCTTTGCACACACACCTTTGTACCTTCTCTATGACTAGCTAAGCTGTCATAGAGAAAAGGGAAACTAGGCCATGAGTGCTCATCGCAAATGACATTGGATGATGGATGGGAAAGATAATCGGAAAACCTTAAGATACCATATCATAAAATGTAGGTAAGTGCTTCTCTCATCTAATTTTAGGGCCAGCCTGAGAGCAAGAATAAGGTGACAGCATTTCCTAGAAATGAAAAACAGGCTGGCTAATAAACATAAAAAAAATTCTCCACTCATTAGAAATTAGGGAGATGCAAATTAAAATTATAATGAAATATATTTTCATAGCCACTGAGTTGGTAAAAATGTGACAATCTGACAAAATCAGATATTGGCAAGTAAGTGAGAGTATAAACTGATACAATCATTTGGGAAATATGGCCTGATCTAGAAAAACAGAACATGTGCATGCCCTACTGCCCAGCAATTACTGGCCCAGAAATATTCCTCACGGAATCTCATACCCATGTGCACCAAAATAAGAATGTTTATAGTTACATTGTTCATTACAACAAAAAGTAGGAAACATCCCAATGTCCGTCAATATTAGAATGGATAAACCATTATGATGAATGAATGCAATGCAGCACATACAGCTATGCAAATAAGTGAACTTCGGCTGTATGCGTAAACTTGGATAAAAAAGTAAATTGCAGAAGTATATATACCGCATGGTGCCATTTATATAAAAAAGAAAAACAGGCTAACCTAAAGAGAATATTGTTTAGGCATACATAAATAGATATTATGACTAAAAAGAAAGGGATAATAAACACGAAATCTCAGAGGAGGGAGTTCTAAGTGAGATTGAAAGGATACAACCTAGGAAGTTGGGATACTACTGAAAGGGTTTCAAAAATATTGATAATGTTCTATTTTACCTGGTATATCTTCACGGATGTATTGTAAGAAAGTAAAGATGAAGGTGAGAAACAAGAGATGAATGTGACATTCTTTTTTGGGGAGTGAGGTAAACAAATGCTCGATGGCCTATAGCTGAGTAGAAACACAATAGGAATATTAATATATGATTTTGTTATTTTTTTCATAAAAAGCTTTTTTCCATAGTTTTAGTCTAACTTATAATTCTTTTTCTTTATAGATTCTGGGTGTTAGGTTATGTTTTAAAAAGTCTTTCGCCACTCCAAGATTTTTTTTTTAGAATCATGTATACTTCTTAAAGGACTTGAATGGATTCTTCCCCCAACCACTACTCCATTTAAATCTCAGCTCTTTCTGAAATTTGTTTTGGTTTTGGAGCAAGCAAATGAATCAGCTTTATTTTGTTTTCAAACAGTGATCCAGTTAAAAACAACACGATTTATTAAACAAGTTTCTTTTTTTTCCACAGATGTGAAATACCTTCTGCAGGGTATTTGAAATTCCGTATATATTTGGATCTATTGCTGAAAATGATTCCGTTGCCAATACCAAACTATTTTTGATTATAATGTATCATACATTTCAATATTTGGAAGAGTTAGTGGACCTTTCATGATTTCTTTTTCAAAAACATCCTGACTATTCTCACATGTTATGTTTTCTTGATTAGAATTTTGTCAAGTTTTGAAAAACATTCTTTTGATACTTTATTAAGAATCATATTAATTTATGAGTTAGTTTAGGGATCTTTCTATCCAAGAACCACGGCCCCCATGCAAGTTTTTGAACATACCAGGCAATGACCCATTTTGGAGTCTTTGAACCAGCAGTTCTCTCTGCTAGAATGTTCTTGCCCCCAGACGCACACAGGGCTAGCTCCCTCAGCTCTTACAAGTGTTCTCAGAAAGACCTATCCCTGACTGCACTATTTATTATGGGTATTAGACATTAATGTCTCTAACCTGCTAAAACATAAGTTCCATAGGGCAGAGATTTTTTTGTATTTTGTTCACTAATATATGCCAAGAACCTCAAACAGTGACTGGCACAAAGCAAACCCTCGATAAATATTTGAAATTTTCTTTTAATGATAGGAATACTTGGTATATTATCTTTTCTTTTTTAAAATATATACTGCAATAAAAAAATGGACAAAGGAAATGAACAAACAATTCATTAAATACAAGCAAAAAAGAAAAAGCGAGGAGGAGAGAAGAAATGTAAATTAAAACAATAATAGCAGAGATATTTTCTCCAGGGAGACTGCCAGAGACTAAAGAGACAACGATACTATTTTGTGTTGGCAGTGATTTAGGAAGCTGGCACTCTTAGACACACCTGTCATGAATATAAATAGCAGTTTGACGATATGAATAAAAAACTTAAATATGTATTCTCTTTGAACAAACCGATAGTTGTCAGATGAGAAGAGAATGTAGGGGACTAGGTGAAAGGGCTTAAGAAGTAAATATTGGCAGTTATAAAATAGTCATGGGGATGTAAAGTACAGAATAGGGAACATAGTCGATAATATTGTAATAACTATGGTGCCAGGTGGGTACTAAACTTATTGGGGTGATCCCTTCATAAGTTTTATAAATGTCTAACCACTATGCTATACACCTGAAACTAATATATTAAATGTTAACCATAACTGAAAATTTTTTTTAATTTTTAAAAACTATGTATTCTCTTTGACCCTGAAATCCCACTCTTGGAATTATTCTAAGGAAATAATCAAGGAAGTATTTTTCTGTTTGTAATACAGAAAATTTGGAAACAACCTGAATGTCCAACAATATGGGGCTTGATTAAATAAAGTCTGATACCTTCATATGATAGAATATTATGTGAATATTAAAATGATACTTGAGAACTACATTTTTAACATGGGAAAAAAAGAGTCCACAACATATTATGTGAAAACAAGTTACTAAACAATATACTTAAAATACTTGATTTTTTTTAAATGCATGTATACATTGAGTATGAACAAAAATGAAACAGCTAGTATGATATACACCAAAGTGTTAACAGTCATTATGAGGGGAAAAAACCCAGTCATGTTGAGTTCTCCTCCTTGCCTATCAAACATTGGTAAGCAATCCAACTCTTTTATCCACATATGATCAGAGACTGCATAGATCCATGTGATCGTGATCAATTTTGCCCGTAAGACATGTAGCAGCAAAGAAAAAGTTTCTGAAATAATTGTGCCACTTAATCCGTCCTACATATTTCAGGTCCTAAAAATACAGTACTGTGTCTAATGATATTTTACACTGGAGCAGGAGAGAGTTTAAAATGGTATGCTAGTGTTATGTGTAGTGCTTTCCTCTCTAAAAACAGACATTGTCCACTTCCAGCTTCATAAAATGGAGTAGGACCTTATCAGATGGTTGCAGGGATAGTGTAGGTGGGAACAGTTTGAAACCTGAAAAATGTCCTTCAAATATTAGATATATTCAAGATATATCTAACACTCAAATATTATTTATACTCAAGGTAATAACCTAAGTGATCCAAGACTGTAAATTCTCTCTGGTATTAAGCTTAGTAAAACTCAGGCTGCTGTCTCCAGGAGGGTGAGGCAGGGCTGTAAACTCAGGGAATAAATAATACAACTTACTACAACTGGCTTTGTTTTAATTGCTGTGTACCCTAAACTGGTTCTGTTCTGGTTAAAACCTGATATGCCTTTCCTCTACATTTCCCAAGGCACACTAAGCCCCTTGTAGATTTCCCTGAAACTCTTAGGACATGACCAAAGTCCATCCGTCTTCTTGGGTTTCTGTAAATGATCTATCTGGAACCAAGAAGGTCTGCTAGACCCATCGAAAATCAGGTTGATCAGTCAGTACTGACTTCCTAATTGTCAAACTGATGGTTGTTTTAAATTGAATTTTAAAAATAAACTTGTTAGACATTACCTATTATTGACCATTCCCTCATTCCTGAAATTCTCCTTTCTCGATTTTCCTGACCTGAGACTCCTCTCTGGATTTTGCTGCTATCACTACGTGAGAGGCGACACAATGAAATGTTAAAAAAATGAGTCACAGATTAAGGTAGTCACTGATTAAAATCCTGTATCTACTGCTCATTGACTGAGAGCATGGATCAATTTCTGAATATCGATAAGCCTTGATTCTTTATAAATTGAAGATAAGTAACACCTACCTTATAGGTATACCATAGGATGGTTGTATAAATTTTTAAAGAAGTAGTGGGGTTTGGCGCATCGTAAACACTTGATAAATATTGACTCTCTCACAGCCTCTTCTACATCCTACACTAGCTTTTCCCCACCTTCAGTGTGGGGGGATCTTCCAGAGTTCT